TTTCAGACCACAAGTCAAAACATGACCTCGGTCAACAGTGACATAACTCAGTAGTAAAGGATTTGAGGTTTACTAGGAATCCTACCTCTTCCCCTCTTTCATAATTCACAGCTCAGATCTCATTTTCCCCTTGTTTGGGGAAGGAATACGACCTAATAGCTGAGAATGAAATGAAAGATACACGTGACTTCTTTTCTTTGATGTTTGAGATGCCCGTCTTCAATAGGAGCGTACTTGAACATGGCTCCCCAGGAAGATTTCAGATGCACGTATATTTCTTGGAACACATTGACTGGGTGAAAGATTCAGTATTACTCACCATGGGGAAATGGTTGGTGAAATTGCTGAGATGGACAAATGGACTTTCTGATGATTACGGAAAGATCATGACTGACATTCATCAATGACTAGAAACCCCTTATGGACTTTTTGCATGAGTAAAAAAATGATTTTGTGATTTTTGGTTTTGATGATTAGAAAGAATAGGTTATAGAAAAAAGGGAATTATGATGAAATTGGAGAGAGTGGTTTGATTAGAACTGTATGTATAATTGCCAAGAGGGATGTCGGAAGCCATTTCTACATACATACATACATACAAATATACATATATATTCATGCTTTCTGTCTTTTTATTTTATTTTTATTTTTCCAATCTTCTTTTCTGTTTGTTTTTTTCTTTCCTTTTTTCACACTTACTTTGCTATATTTTTTCTTTTTCTTTTTTGTTTCTTTGAATATATTTCTTATTTATTACCTAGGTAAAATCTTTTAATAAAAATGTTTTTTTTAAAAAGAACACATTGGCTGGGTTCACCCAATATTCACAAATTCTGGTTAACAAAACACAGTGTCTGCATTCACATAACATTCTAAGCCCCCTCTCCCCCAAATGAAGCACATTATAGCTTGACAGGATAGCTTGGTTGAAGCTGGTGTTCACCAGGTGATGAACCAGAAACTCCACTGTGGTTTAGCTCAGCATGTTAGACAACCATTAGGTGTTTATGAACCCAGCCTTGTCGTGTCTAAATTATGCTTCATGACTGGATTGTGAATTGGTAAGTGAACTGGATTGGATGAAACTGCAGTTAACTTAAAGCACGGTTTAGCTTAAGGTGTGAACCCTGGTATTCAGGTGCTAAATGAGTTAAAACCAGCCTCTACCACCACCTGTGAAAAGAATCTCAAACCTGCATTTTACTAGTCTATTCACAGCCTCTATCCCTTTTTTCTACAGGCATGACAGTAGAAGTGCTTGGGACTGTCCTAGGAACAGCCATCCAAGGACAGATTGTGGGCAAAGCAGATACACCATGTATTTCCGACCCACCCTTCTTGAACCCAAACTATTCTTCAGTGGTCTTGGAGGAAGTCAACATCACCCGTGACACTGGTTCGCTCTCTGACACGGTATGGATCCTTTTGGAGAACTCTGTGTTCTCACTACAATGGGGTAAAGAGTCTGGCTGAAGCCTGTGACTAAAGACTGAGTTGAAAAAAATAATCTTTATTTTTGTCGCTGCTTTGTCTGGATGACCAAAGTGAACAGACTGATGCTCTGGCTTCAGAGCTGGGATGTCATGGAGTGTCTTCTCCTAGGGAGCAAAAATGGGACAAAGCTGTTGTCCAAGTTCTTGTTTATTCCCAGAGGTAATTGAGAACAGATCAGAACAAGGTACAAGATCCAATTCTGATAACCTGCATTCAGATAAGATGCTTCAACGGGTTATTAAGTGGACCTCTTATTCCGGGTTTCCACACTACGTTGAACCCTGAGCTAATTAAATAGGCTGGATTTGCACAACATGCTAAGCCACAACAAAGTAACCCCCATTAAAACAAATTAAACTTGAAGGCTTGCTATGCAAATGCAGTCACCAAGTGTGTCACTGACCTAGTTAAAAGTTGTTTTGGTCAGTTTAGAGGCATTGGTTAGTCTTTCATTTCCCAAACAAATGAAATTTGTATCAAAAGAAAAAGCACCTGAATTTACTCCAATATATTAATATTTCTCAGACTTAGCTACTAATCTGCAAATTTTGTACCTTATCATCAACACCAGGATGTATATTCTAATCCAGTGTTTCTCAACCTTGGCAACTTTAAGATGTGTGGACTTCAGCTCCCAGAATTGCTGG